GGATTGAGCTGAGGCGATGACCGATGTCAGCTGGGTGGATTGAGATTTGTTGGTCCAGTGGATTTGTCGGTCCAGTGGATTGGCCAAAAGTGTCCTGTCGGCACAGAGCTCCGTGCCAGCCCTCCAGCGAGATAGGAACGAGTGTATCGCTTTGATTTGGGGTCTCACACCTTTTCCCCGAGTGGCACGCTGGAAAAGAAACGCTGACCAGTTCGCGGGTGCCGCCTGCAGGTGTGACGCTACAGCTTCGCTGGACCAGAGGCGCGCTGGCCACCAGGCCCGTCGATCGAGACATCCGTCACCCCCCCCCCCCCCCCGCCCCGCTTCCCCCTGCCCGGCACGCGCCTCCACCGGCCACGCTCGCTCTCGCCGTATCTCGCGCCGCCCCTTGCTGACGCGCGATACCAACTGCCGCGGCAGACACCTGGCAGAGGCACTGCCGGCAAACGGCATGGCGGAGGCGCAGGTGCCGGCCGCGCGCCCGTCCCGCCCGCAGCCGCTCCGCGCGCACCGCTGCGGATCGGCCTCGTCCGCTCCGCTCTGCAGCAAAGAGGGGCGGCGGTGATGGAGGGGACGGGGTACAGCGATCACTGCCCTGTCCCCCCGCAGGCGGCAGCGCCGGAGGAGTCGGCTCCGCAGGAGCTCAACGGCCACGCGGAGGGCGCGCCCGAGGCGCTGGGCGGCGCGGATTCGCTCGACGCGGGCATGCAGGCGCTCAGTGTGGGCGACAACGGCGCGGGCGGCGAAGGCGTCGCCGGCGACGGCGTGAATGCAAACGGCGGCTCGCCGATGATGCGCGGCGGCGACGTGCGCGCGCGCGGTGGGCAGCACACGCAGGTGTACACCGTCGAGGGCGACACCGTCGTCCGGCTGCACCAGACCAACGTCGTCACCGTGCGCGCTGACGGCGAGGTTGCGCTGTCGTCCGGAGGGTGCGCTGCAGCAGCCGCGGCCAGTTGGCCTCCTCCGCTTCCGCAAGCGGTCGGCGCCTCACCGCGCGCGCCGGCGCCCGCGGTGGCAGGTGGCGGACGCACCAGACGCTCAAGGGCATCAACATGGCGCTCAAGGCCTTCGCGCCCGGGCTGCAGGTGCGGCGCTGCAGCTCCGTCTTCCCTCCGCCCACCCCATTCTGCAGATGGCTTACAGAGAGATGGCCCGACACGCGTCCGCACCGACGCGACGCGCCTCGGCTCGCAGGTGATGGCCGACGGCCACGTCGCGGAGGGCAATTGGCGCGTCACCAACGGCCGCGACTGGTCCGTCCACTTCTTCGACGGCGTGTCGGTCCGAGACGCTCCCGAGACGCTCCCGAGACGCTCCCGAGACGCTCCCGAGACGCTCCCGAGACGCTCCCGAGACGCCTCCCCTTGCCCGCCGGTGGCGCGCGCCGTCCGACTCGACACGGAGAGAGTCGCTGCGCGCGCGCCCATCGGCCCACGCCTATTTGCTTTCCGCTGCTCGTCACCACGAAACCGCTGGACACACAGGTGCCGGGCGCTGCGCCCCAGAACTTGGCCGCTCAGGTGCCCCCCCCACCCCCTCCAAGCCCCCCTCCAAGCACAATGAGTCCAGCCCCTCCGGCCCCCATTCCATTCCATCCCTCGTTGCGGATCCATCCCTCGCCGCCGCCACCCTCCTCGGTCTTTGCCGCCCCCCTGCCCCCCTCGCCGCCGCCGCCCTCGCCGCCGCCGCCCTCGCCGCCGCCGCCCTCACCGCTGCCGCCTTGGCGTCTGCCGTCCCCGGCAGCTGATCCCCGCCTCCGACCCGGCAAACCGAGCCCTTCTCACCGCCGCGGCGCCTCGCGTTCCCTCGTGCCACAGGCTGCCGCCATGCCGGGCCTCTTCGAGCAGATGATCATGCAGGCGGGCGGTTTCGACGGCATGGTGCGACGAATCATCCCAGACGCCTCCCCCCCCCCCCCCCCCCCCTTCCCTCCCCCGCCTGCCCGTCACGCTGCCCGGTGCCGCCTCACCGCCTCACCGTGGCACCTCCGCACCCTAAGCGCCCCCATGCCGTGCCCTTGACCTGTCCACGCCCCGCCCGCAGACGCCTCAGTTCATGGGCGCGATGCCGCCGGGCAGCGTGCCCGGCTCCGCATCCCCCAGCGCCGCCGCCGGCGGGGCAATGGGTGGAGGCTACATGGGTGGAGGCTCGGTCTCGCCCGGTGGCCGCGGTGGCGGTGGCGGCGGCGGCGGCGGCGGCGGGAAGATGCAAGGCAAGGGCGGCGGCAAGATGGGCGGACGCGGCGGCGGCGGCGGTGGCGGCGGTGCCGGCGGCGGCAAGATGGGGGGCCGGCCCGATCTGCCGCCGGGCCCGCCTCCGCCAAAGCCCGAGGAGGCGGCGACGAACCTCGAGGCGTACGACGACATCCCCGTCGAGGCTTCGGGCGAGGACTGCCCCAACCCGGTCGAGCAGTTTGCCGAGCTGCAGCTGCACCCGCAGCTGATGCACAACATCGAGGTGGCGCGCTACATGCGGCCGACGCCCGTGCAGCGGCACGCCATCCCGGTCGGCATCGCGCGCCGCGACCTTATGGCTTGCGCGCAGACAGGGTCGGGCAAGACGGGCGCGTTCCTCTTTCCTGTCCTGCACCAGATCATGGCGGCGCTCGACGCGGCGCCGGACATGCGCCCGCGCGGCTGCGCGGAGCCGCGCTGCCTCATCCTCTCGCCGACGCGCGAGCTGGCGACGCAGATCCACAAGGAGGCGCTGCGCTTCATCCAGCGCTCCAAGGTCTTCTCCGTCGTCGTGTACGGCGGCGCCGAGATGAAGACACAGATCAACGCGCTCGACCGCGGGTGCCACGTGCTCGTTGCGACGCCAGGGCGATTGGTGGACCTGATCGAGCGCGGCAAGGTGCGGCTCACGTCGATCGCGCACCTCGTGCTCGACGAGGCGGACCGGATGCTCGACATGGGGTTTGAGCCGCAGATCCGGCGCGTGGTGGAGCGGGAGGGCATGCCTCCGGTCGGGCAGCGGCAGACGCTGATGTTCTCGGCGACCTTCCCCAAGGAGATCCAGCGGCTCGCGTCCGAGTTCATGACGCGCTACATCTTCGTGGCGGTGGGGCGGGTCGGCTCGACGACGGCGCTCATCACGCAGTCGATCCACTACTGCGAGGAGAACGACAAGCGGCGGCTGCTCATCGAGCTGATCGCCGCCAACGCCGGCCGCACCATCGTCTTTGTGGAGACCAAAAAGGCGGCCGAGCACTTGGAGGAGTTCCTCTACCGCTCGCAGATCCCGGCCACCTCGATCCACGGCGACCGCTCGCAGCGTGAGCGCGAGTACGCCCTCGCCTCCTTCCGGCGGGGACACCCGGCGGTGCTGGTCGCCACAGACGTGGCGGCGCGCGGGCTGGACGTGCCCGACTGCATGCATGTGATCAACTACGAGCTGCCGCGCGACATCAACTCGTACGTCCACCGGATCGGCCGCACGGGCCGGATGGGCAAGCAGGGCGTGGCCACGTCTCTCTTCTCGCCGCTCAACCGCCCTGTGGCGCGCGACCTGGTCACGCTCCTGCAGGAGGCGAACCAAGCTTGCCCCGACTGGCTCGTCGCCATCGCGGAGCAATCGGGCCACGGAGGGGGCCGCGGCTATCAGGGCCGCGGCAAGTTTGGCGGCCGCGACTACCGCTCCAACGCCCAGGTGCGGCGCTACCAGCACTCGGCCGTCGGCGCGATGCCGGGCTACAGCCAGGGGTACCAGCAGGGCGGCTACATGCCGCAGCAGGGTGGGTACTACGGCGGCGGCGGGTACATGCAGAGCAAGCAGGGCGGCCACTACGGCGGCGGCGGCGGCGGGTACGGCGGCGACGGCGGCGCCGGCGGCTGGGGCGGGTACGGGCAGCAGTACGCGCAGATGCCATACCAGCAGCAGCACTATGGAGCGCGTGGCGCGGGAGGCGGCGGCGCGTACGGTGGCTACCAGGCCTCGCCGCATTACCAGTACTACAATCAACAGCCGGCGCAGGGCGGCGGCGAGGGCGGCTCCCCTGCGATGATGCCGATGGGGATGGTGTGGCAACAGCAGCAGATGCCCCCCGGCGGCACCGCCGGCCACGAAGGGCACTACGCGGGGTACGCCCAGTGAAGAGAGGCAAGCCTTGCGGCGAAGGGCCGCGCGGGGGGGGGGGGGGGGCGCGCCTCGCGCACGCCCAACTCCGGCGGAAACGTGCGGCAGCCAAGACACGGAACCGGGCAGAGAGACGAACGGGGGGAAGTCAGCTCAGTGTTTGTAATTTATGTGCGGTGCGAGCGCGCCAGGGGGGGGGGGGGGGGCAATCGGTCGGCTTGTTGGTGCAGACAGGGAGGCGAGAGGCTCGCATCTTGTCGCGGCCGCGACTCGTGTGCGTCAAAGTGCGCATGTGCACAATTCACCCAACGACATGCGAGTGTCGCGTATTTTGTGAGAGAGGTGAGCGGGGGGAGGCGCGGGTGCCGGCGTGTATTTGAAAAAAGATGCGATGCCAAGTATACAAGTGAGAAAAAGACTAAAGAGGTACACCGCACAGACTACAGAGTACAGTCCGGCTCAGTCGGGAACGGGATGTTGTGTACCACGGGGTCGGGTGTGCGTGAGAGCAGCACGGCCACCGAGACCCAGCGACATACATGCACACACGCGAAATGCAAAGCAGTGTGTGCGCACGCGGCCCGCGCGCACCACACTCCGTCAGTGCCAAGTGTGCGCACGCGGCCCGCGCGCGCACCACAGCATACACGCAGGTCGTCACAGCAGACAGCAGCACCACACGTGGCGGTTTGTCGTCATCACGTACCTCTCGCAGTCACGCGCGGCCAACGGCAAGTGTACACGATAAGAGCCATGCAAGCAAGTCCAATGGCAAGCGCTGCATGCGGACCCCCCCCCTCCCCCCCCGCGCCTCCAGATGCGTCCAGAGCGAGTTTGCTCACGCAAATGCAGGGGAGAGCCCCGGGCCTGTATCAACCGTCAGCTCCGGCTGGGCGGCGGTGTCGTCGCTGTCGCTCTGAGGTATGTCGGGCGAGCCAGATCGCGAGCTGGTGGACCGAGAGCTGCCGGACCCCTTCCCATCCGCCGGCAAGGCATCGGGGAAGAAGCGCGTGAGCAGCATCTTCACCAGCCCGGCTCTGTCCTCTAGCGAGCCGGACCCAGCCACCGCACGCAGCGTCATGGTCGGCCACCGCTGCAGTAGCACGCTGGGCTTGCCATTCAGCTTGAAGAGCAGTACTAGCCGGCGCACACATTCGGAGTGCGATCCGTCTGTGGAGGCATTGAGTGCTAAGAGGGCCGAGGTGAGCGTGTCGGTGTTGCACGAGCGGAGCCTGCCACTCCAAGTCTCGACGAAGCTGCTGACGGGGCGCGTGCGCGTCGGAATGGCCGGGGGGGGGCGTGATCGCGGCCCCCCTTCCGAGGGCGCCGCTGCCGAGGGCCCGCCGCTGCCAAGCCCGCCGCCGCCGCCCCAAGCCTCTGGAGATCTAGTTCGCGGGGGCGGCGTGGAGGGCGGATCCGCGGCGGGCGAGGATGCGGCGGCGGGACCAACAGAGGTCCCATCAGCGAAGCCCGAATCGTTTCCGGACATCGCCCCCGGGGGCCCCTCCCCAGCTGGCGGGTGGCGCCCCTACTGCCGACGGCCCCAACTCCGAGGGCGCAACGCTTCCTGATCGTCCGATCAAATGCGGCGCCCGAGTCTTGTAAAGGGCTCGAGGGGTACTCGAGGGGTATTGATGCGATCGAGATCGAATGTGAATCGCAAAAATGGTCAGTTCAAGTTTGTGTCTAGAGGGAAGGACAGGCGGGCGACATTTGACGACGTCGGGGATCACAATGTGACGACCAAAACGATCTTGGGGGCCAGGGTGAGACAACAACAGGTCGGGGTGCCACATGGGGCACACCACAGGCGTATTCTAGAGGGGGAAAAGAAACGGGGAATGAGGGGCACTAGAATTCTAAAATTTTCGCGCAAAAATCTGGTTGTTGCACTGTTGCACTGGAATGGGGTCGACAAAGTATTTGGATAAATTTCAGATTACCCGGTTTTTGAGATTCGCCTCGCAGATCACCCGGCGTTTTCCAGATCACCCGGCGTGAGCGGTTTCAGATCACCCAACACGGCAAAATGTCGTTTCCAGATCACCCAACACGGCGAAATGTCGTTTCCAGGTTACCCGATCCCGAAATTTCTTTTTCCAGATCACCCGGTTTTGAGATTCGCCTCGCAGATCACCCGGCGTTTTCCAGATCACCCGGCGTGAGCGGTTTCAGATCACCCGGTGCGGCAAAATGTCGTTTCCAGATTACCCAACACGGCGAAATGTCGTTTCCAGGTTACCCAACACGGCGAAATGTTTAATGTTACCCGGCTCGCGAAATTTCTTTTTCCAGATCACCCAGTAGTGGGATTCACGACTGCGTCATTCAAGCAAACGACGCCGGGGATTCCGAGTGGGAGCTCTCCTTAGGACACGTGCCGCAGGTGCTCGCTCTCTCGGTCTGGACGAGGTTCACGCTGAGTCCGGCCTTTGCGCCAAGCTAAGCAGCCGTCCGTGTCCGGGTAAGCTGAAACGAGATATTTTGCCCGAGCGGGAATCTGAAAGAGAAAAGTGTGTTAGCCGCCGGGTGATCTGGACGAGAAATTTGGCCGACCGGGTAATCTGACACATGAGAAATGTTAGCCACCGGGTAAGCTGAAACGCGAATTGTGGGAGACTGGGTACACTGATTTGTCAATTTTTTGATGATTTTTTGGGGATAAATTTCAGATTACCCGGTTTTTGAGATTCGCCTCGCAGATCACCCGGCGTTTTTTGCCTCGCAGATCACCCAACACGGCAAAATGTCGTTTCCAGATTACCCAACACGGCGAAATGTCGTTTCCAGGTTACCCGGGTCACGAAATTTCTTTTTCCAGATCACCCGGTTTTGAGATTCGCCTCGCAGATGACAGATCACCCGGCGTTTTCCAGATCACCCGGCGTGAGCGGTTTCAGATCACCCGGTGCGGCAAAATGTCGTTTCCAGATTACCCAACACGGCGAAATGTCGTTTCCAGGTTACCCAACACGGCGAAATGTCGTTTCCAGGTTACACGGAATGTGAAATTTCTTTTTCCAGATCACCCGGTAGTGGGATGCGCCGGGTAATCTGAAACCGTTTGGGATTCACGACTGCGTCATTCAAGCAAACGAGGCCGGGGATTCCGAGTGGGAGCTCTCCTTGAGCACTTGAGCACCGGATAGGGTCGATTCCGCATGGTACGGGACCCCTTAGGACCAAGTGCCGCAGGTGCTCGCTCTCTGGACGAGGTGCACGCTCGCGTCCGGGTAAGCTGAAACGAGAAATTTGCGCGCCCGGGTAATCTCAAAGAGAAAAGTTAGCCGCCGGGTAATCTGGACGAGAAATTTGGCTGACCGGGTAATCTGACATGACAAATTTTAGCGACCGGGTAAGCTGAAACACGAATTGTGGGAGACTGGGTAAACTGGTTTGACGGAAATCGCGCTAAGCAGGAAAATATCGTTCGGGTAATCTGCGAGGCGAATCTCAAAAACCGGGTAATCTGAAATTTATCCATTTTTTTGCTGAGCAGGAAAATATCGTTGCCGGGTGATCTGGACGAGAAATTTGGTACAGTGGGTTTCGGGCATTAAGAAAACGTAGTATTAAGAAACCACGCCGAGCGATTTTCGCGAAAATCTTAGAAACCACGGCGCGCCGCAGGCGCGGCCCCGAGAAAAGGCCAGACACGAGTCTCGAGTGTGAACGGGAGCCCCAGCTCAAATTTCTCTTCGCCTGCGGCGCGCGCACTTGTCACTTTCCAAGTCTACGGTGTTCTGAGTGGAGTGGAGATGGAGGCGTGTGTGCGTCTTCCCGTCATCCAGAGAGCCGACTCGGCGGCAGACTCTGGCATCGCCCTCGCGGACCGCAGCTTACCTCTTACCTAAAATCCTTAGGGGGGCGGCTCTGGCCTGAGTGCCGGCCGGAGCTAAGAAACCACGGCGTGGGGTGGATGAGGGCTGTGGAAAGGCTTAGAAACGGCGGCGTGCCGCCAAATCCTGTTTTCTTAATGCCCGCAACCCACTGTATATGAAATTTGTTGTTTGTTGAAATTTGGCCGACCGGGTAATCTGACATGAGAAATGTTAGCGACCGGTGAATTGTGGGAGACTGGGTAAACTGGTTTGACGGAAATCGCGCTAAGCAGGAAAATATCGTTGGCCGGGTAATCTGCAAAAAACATCTCTCTCTAATCTGCGAGGCGAATCTCAATCTCAAGTATTTTGCTGGGATTTCTGAATTCATCGACCCAAAATATTTATTTTTGATAAAAAAATAAATAAAACGGACACACCAAACAAGGACGTTGTCTCTTTCTTTTTGAGCTTAGCTTCGATGTTATGCAAAAAATATTTATTTTTCCTCATTAGCAATTCCTCCCATGCTGGCGGTGCCAATGTTCCTGCTCGGCCTCGTCGCCACGCCACAATCCGCCACATCGCGCCACGTCCTCTCGCGTGCAAGCTCGCCCACCTGCAGCATCGAATCGGAGACGGCCGAGACTCAGAGCGGCACTGCGCCAGCGAAACCTCCAGCCGAGCCTGGCTTCTTTGCTGGCTTCGGCGCCGCGGCTGGCCTGGTCGCCGCCCCGATCCTGCTCTTCAGCGTTTACAACGTCGCAGCCACCGGTGGCGGACTCGATCCCGGGCCTTATGGCCTTCTGGGTGCTATCGAGGGCGTGTCATACCTCGCTGTCGTGGGCATCGCCGGAGCGGGTCTCGTGAGCAAGGCGAGCAAGGGCACGGGGCTACCCGCGGGCCCGCTGGGGCTGCTAGGCCTTTCTGAGGGCCTTTCCTTCCTCTCGCTTCTGCTGGCGGTCCTCGTGTTTCCGCTCAAGGAGTTTGGGGTGGTCGGCGACCCGCAGACCGCCGCGGTGGATGTGCCTGCGCTCGCCGCGGCCGTGGGCGAGGTGGTGTCGCCGCTGGTCGCGTCGCTCGTCGCCGCGGTGACCAGCGCCGTCGAGCAGATTGACCTGCCGCAGGTCTGCAGCTCGCTATGGCCAGAGGGACACCTGGACTCGGCACACCCGACAACGCCGCGCCCGCAGCTCACTGCCGTGCGCATCCCGACCGCTTTCGCCCCGGAGAGATGGTCTCACCCTGGCTTCCCTGCCGCTAGGGGTCACTCGACGGCGGCAGTCTCCCGGACCTCTCCGCGGTAATCTCTTCGCTCCATCTGCCAGACAGCCTGCCCTCCCTCCCCGAGGGCCTCTCCCTCCCCGAGGGTCTCTCTCTTCCCTCCCTCCCCGACGGCCTCTCCCTCCCCGACGGCCTGCCCTCCCTCCCGTCGCTGCCCGACGGCGCGGCGCCCGAGCCCAACGCCCCGGCCGTCCCCGTGTCGCTGGGGGAGTGACGAGTGACGTCGCCATGTTTTTTTTTCTATGATCAGACTGACTGACTGAGCCAAAGATCGATGTAGAGGGCGTGTGTGTGCGGCTTGTTGCACGAGTATACGTACGTACTTTTAGCTTACTGGGAGAAAAGGGAGAGGGGGTTGTGTTCTCTAGGCCCCTAAGGGCGCTACGCGCGGCGTGAGAGCTCGGAAAGAGTACCTCAAGAATCGTAGTCTTTATTAGTATCTTGGAGCACTCGTTGGAGTGCAGTCTGCAATCTCACATCCAGGGCCGGGGAGTCGAGATTGAGTTTTGCACGAATATATATGTATTAGTGGGGAGGCGAATGTTGGACGGAGGGTGGACGCGTCCAAAGGGGGGGGGGGTCGGGGGGGGGTCACCGTCGACCAAAAGCGTGACACTGGAGAGCGAGTGTCGTAACACATCGGAGCACATCGGAACGCCCCTGCTAGCGACGCCTGGGCGGCGATGATGCCGCAGGCGGCGACCGCGGAGCACCGCGGAGACGGCGTCGACCGGCGGAACGAACACCACCAGCGATTGGCCCGCGAGAGGAGCGAGCGCGAGGCGGGAATGAGGGCGTTCGAGCCGCCGCCGCGCCGCCGGACGAGGAGGGGGCGGTGGAGCACGTGAGCGCGTCCATCGTTAACTACCATGTCCACGCTCATGAAAGTAGGCGCAATCAACTGGTTTTGATTGCGCCTACTTTCATGAGCGTCGACATGGTAGTTTTATATACATAACGGGGGTGGGCGTTATGTAACGCCTACCCCGTCATAACGCGGATCGATGAGTTATATAACAACTAGTATCTTGTGGGTTATATATAACGCAAACACCGTTATGCATAACGCCGACCTCCGTTACATAAGTCAAAACGTCCCGTCGGGCCCCCGTTACAGTATATAACATGAGGGACGTTACAGCCGTAAATGTAACGGCTCGGTTGCGTTATATATTATTTAACCCAGCCACGAGATACTAGTCGTTGTAAATATAATATAACGCGATCTGGATTATGACAATGTAGGCACCTGGCGTTACATAACACCTACATAACGCCGGCAACCACGTTATGTGGGGAGTGGGCAGTGGCGAGTCAGTGCCGCATCTACAGTGCCGAACGGAATGGTCCCCATGTGGTGGTCGGTCACGTGGCACCCGTCGACCTCTTTCTCATGCCAAGAGATCTCGCCAATGCCGCGCGCGTGCCAACCGTTGACCTCGCCACAGCGCCCACTCTCGAGCTCCATTTCCACCTACCAATGACGCCCAGCCAGGCACTAGAGATGCTTGACTACACAGTTTGGCGAGCCGCTGACCTGCGGGCCCGCGCCAAACTCTCAGAAGACGCTATCGGTCCCTCTGACAGCGGCGTTGGAGGCAAGATCATTCGCGTGGCCGACAGGAGCGCGCGTCAGAGCGCCCGCAATATATTGCTTACCCTGCAACAAAGGCCACGGAACCACACCTGCACGAGCGCGACGACCACGGAGCTTAGGTCACTTTGTGAGACCTTCATGGCAAAGATGCCGGCTGAGTTCGCACGACGAGACGAGCATTGCTTCGAGCATCTTAATTTCTCTCGCATCAAGGATCCGATTCCCCGGAGCATCAGGCATCCGATTGACGACGGACCCGCCGCCCCAGCAGCCAGACCCGCCATCGACTTGGGTGTCTCGTGCCCCCACGCTGAGCACGATGCGTCGGACGCTCATGTTGTGAACGCCAACGCTTCGCTTCATCTTACCACCTCCCAGCCGCCATACGTCTTGTGCCTACGGCACGCACAGCACGTAGACGAGACGATCAGGACACGAGGCCGCTGGACAGACTGCGACTTGCTACCATCGCTGCTCCCACCGGCCACGCAAACACGGCCATTGGTTGTGGATGTCGGAGCCAACATTGGGGCATGCACCTTTCTCCTGGCAGCGCTCGGCTATCGTGTTGTAGCCTTTGAGCCGACGCCGCCGACGTTTGCGGCCCTTGTGGCTGGGTTCGAGGGCAACTCAAAAAGAGCGCGGGCGCCACCAGCCGAAAAGCATTACTACGCGGCCTCTGGCGCGTCTTCTGCGCCCTTGGACGTGCGACTCGTGAATGTGGGCATTTCAAACGCTAGCGGCGGAGCGCACATCCATGTGCAGCCTTTAAACTCAGGGAATGCCATCACCGGCGGGGGCCTGAGTGGCCGGCCGCGGCAGCAACCCAACTTCAAAGAGGCCTTCGATGAATCGTACGCTGAGTATGTCATAAGCCTGACGACATATAGATACGAAAGAGTTTACACGCGAGCCCACGCGAGCCCACGCGCCGCACACACGCACACGTGGGGACATACCGAGTGGGGGGGCACCACACGCGGCACGCAAGAAACGAGACACTGCAGACCCCAAGTACCCAGCCAAAGTATGTTGTACACAATCATCTCGACGGCTCAGCCGCCAGTCACGTCCGGTTTGCTCTCGCTTCGCGCGCGACCGAGCTGCCACGGAAGATCTCGCCCCCATGGCGCCCCACGCATGCATGCATGCACACCGTGTAGGGCTCACAAAAGAGCGTGCCGGGGCTCACGAAAAAGTTTTAGCCCCTCAGCCAAACAGGCTGGAGGTGACAGCCGCCTGCCGGATCGAGCAATAGCAGGAGAGGAAGATGCCGATCGCGGGCGCCCAGTAGAGGGTGCGCGCGCGCGCGCCCTGCAGGAACCCCATCGCGCCTATGGGACATGTCTCGGAAAGGTCGTGAACGCGCCCTGGTCGTCTCGCGGCGCGCTGCGGGAGGCCGAGCGCCGCTCTGCGCGTAGACCTCCTTGGCCATCCCGACGAAACCGACGGGGAGGGTGCACGCCTGCCCAAGGGGAGGGGGGGGGGGGGGGGGGCACGACAGTGGCGCTGGCGGCCAAACCCTCGAGCCCCAACTCTCGGGACGCCTGCTGGCGCTGTGCGGGAAAGCTAGGTGGGGCAATGCGGGTGGCCGAAGGGCAGCGAAAAGCGCGGGCAGTGTGCCGCGGGCATGCGGCCGTCGTGAGCTGGTCGCCACACGCCCCACGGGTAATGTCGGACCAGCTCAGGCAAGCTCGGGCAAGCTCGGGCATTTCTCGGCAAATGTCGGGTCAGCTCGTGTGGTTGCGCCTGCTCGTCGCACGCCTCGTCGACGCCCGTGCCTTGCGTGAGGATACGGATCGTGACCACGTCGGTCGGCGTGGTGAGGAAAGCGCCTACAGCCGCAAAAGGCGACGCCCCGTCAGGCGCCCCCCGTCACTGGGCACTGCCCGCGAGGCGGGGAGTCTGGCGCGGGGGCTGAGGCGCGCGCCGATCGCGCCGCCCGTCGCTCCAAAGAGCGCCTCGGCGAGGAGGGTGTCCACGTCGACGACAATGTCGGGCGAGTTGATGATGTACCTAAAGGAGGGAGCCGCGCAGTCGGGGGCAAGAGCCCCCACGGGGCCACGGCGTGCGAGCGGAGGGGGGGGGGGGGGCACGTCTTGAGCCCCTCAAAGATGGCGAGCTGGATCGCGCCGAAGGGCACATCCCTCCACAGCGACGAGCTCCACGCGCGCATCACGTTCGCGCGCCCCGCCGCCGTGCCGAGCACGCTGCGCACCTGCGACGGCGGCGTGTCCGGACGCGTCACGGACGCGTCTCCCACGGCCGCCCTTTCCGTGCCGAAGGTATGCTGCCGAGTCGGCCGTCGTCGAGTCTGCGCCCGACTGCAGCCTCGACTTGATCGCCTCGGCGGGCGCGCGGATCACCGACCCGACCGTCTCCCCCGCGGCGCCAGCGAGGAGGTACGCGACGAGCGGGTAGGGGCTGATTGCGGGGGTGGCGAGCAGCGCAGCCTTGGCAGCCTCGTACACGCCTATGTGTGTGTGTGGGTGGGTGCGAGGTGGGTGGTGGTGGTGGTGGTGGTGGTGGTGGGTGGTGGTGGTGGGGGGGGGGGGGGGGGCAATTGGGCATGGCGCGCGCCGAGGTAAACAGCCAACGGGGGGCCCTCCTTGAGGAGCGCGCCGCTAAGGCCGGGGTACAAGTCGGGGAGGCCCTCCAAAATCCACGCGCCAGCGTCGGGGGGGGCCCCCCTCGTGAGGGTGGCCCCCGGGAGGGACTTCGGGCCGGCACTCCGGGAAGGCCGTTCCTCGCCCCCCGGCGGGTCCTTGCCGGAGCCGGACCCTTTTGACGCTGCCGCTACCGGTGGGTTTGCCGCCC